CTCCCAATTAAAATATTTGGGAGTTACATACGAATGACTAATGACCTAAATACCTTTATCATTAATATGTAAGTTACCTTATAACCAAACCCAAAGATGCAACATTATTGGTTGATGTGGGTTAGCAAAGTTTGCACAAAATATTGGGTTAGTATTTGAACCACCCTATATATATATATATATATATATATATAGAGAGAGAGAGAGAGAGAGAGAGAGACAAATGATCGTGTGAAAATAGGAGTTAAGGTGAGAAACATAAAAAAGATCTGAATCTTAATCACTTTTAGAGGCCGTTTACCCAATCACTTATCTAGTAGGAGCTGACCATGAGATTCAAAATTATCACTTACCTTATCAGCTAAGATTTTAGTCCTTCAAAATGGTATCGTTTATAACTATTTACCCAGTAAGCACTAATAGGGTAAGAGTCGTTACCCTCTCTTACCACGTAAGATCTTCGGTCCTTGTCATCGCTCTTACTGGGTAATATTCTCAGTCATTGTCATGTTCATTTGTTAAGATAATGTGACTTGACAAGAACTTACTGGATAAGCATTATGTAACCGCCCCCTTAATCTCACACCCACCCCATGAATTGCATTTATCATGGAAATTGATCATGTGCATCTCAGTGCACCATATTAATATTAATATTCAATTATGATTGATTCAAGATTGAAGATCATTTCTTACTTTTCTCACAATGACTTGCATTCTCACCGAAACTCAACTCTATGTATGCATGCATGCATGTATGTATGTATGTATGTATGTATGTATGTATGTATGTATGTATGTATGTATGTATGTATGTATATAGAGTCTAGAGACTGAAAACATGGTTGGACAATTTTATCCCTGAATTTAATGAAGATTTTAACGACGTTAGTGATCAGGTCTCTTTTTAAAATAAAATTCAAACCTGAAGAATGACATCTTAACTTATTGAAATATATGTCTCACTTTTAAATGATTGACTAAACCTCAAGGACCAAAATTGAAGTGAAGTCACAAATTAATGATAGGAGCAGCCTTGTTTTGGCCTTCTAGATTCTAGAATTCATAATTGTCAAACACAAACAGCTTCACGTCATATATTCTCATTTCCCACATTCCTATAAATTTCCTTTTTTTTATTTTTTTTAAATTAAATCTAATAATTTTTTAATATTTTCATAATTATTTGGTAACAATAAGTGAGTTTATTGTAAAAAATATTATTTAAGTAAGCATTAAGCTATCTGTTTAGAAAAAAAAATATATTTTAAATAATGTTTTAATAAATTTCAGAAACTCTTTTCAATTTTTAATTAAGTCCCTTCTATTATATATATATATACTAGAAGAGTACTCGAGCAATGCAGCGAGACACATCTTAATTTTAATGTTCTATTTTATTCTTTGTCTCTATCGATGTTATAATACGATTTTATGC